GAAAGAGTTTTCACCCTGATTTTAGTGCCTTATGTAAGTATATTAACAGAGTGGATTGAATCATACTTGTATCTGCTCTTTAACAGCCCTGGTTTGCAGTCTGGCATGCTAATGAATGAGAGATTAACTGCAGTTTATGTTTGGTAAGAGCCAGCTACCTATCCAGTTCACGTTTTCCAAGGCTAGCAGTATTAGCCTGCTGCAAAGAAGCAGAGTTGCCACTGCTTCATCTGCCCTGCTGAATCCTGCATCTGTGAGTAGGAGCGCTGCTTTCCTTCTCCGCATTATCTCGGTAAACTTGGATTCTGTATTCACTAGAGATATTAAAAATGTCCTATCATTATTCCATCTGTCTATTTTAATCAACTTGTGGCTTTTGTAGAGAGGCTGTTGGCTGCCATCAGCACCTTAGGCGATTGTAACAGTTAATTCTGCTCAGAGCAAACTTAATTAACATGAGAGTTTCAAACCTGACACCACAAAATGCTTAAGCTATATACAGCTTTGGGGAATCCTACTGAATGGGATAATGTGCGTAAGCATCATGTGCAACTTTAAGTGTCTTGCTATATTGAGGATTTTAAAATGTATTTTTTTGCATTCTCACAAGTCAGCCTCAACACTTGAAAGGTACAAAAGCTATAGACTGAACACTTACTATAAACCTGTGGGCTAAAGTAGTTCATCAGACACATTACCTCATTAAAAAAGTGGCTATTTTGTTGTGGGGAAAAAACAAAATTAGTGTATGTTGTTAAAGAATACCACTTAAATCTTTAATTTTGAAGAGATACCTAGCTTGGGTAGGGCTCAGGCAAGGAATATTTCAGCTCGAAAAGAAAATTTGAATGTATGAGATCACTTAGGAAATCATTGTGTAGTCTTGTCCCGGTAGATTTTACAGACAAAGACTATGAATGTTTTTATTTCCTCCTGTTGACATTGCTGTAAGGAATTACTTGAGAAGAAATGTTTATAGCTTTTATTAGACTGTAATGCTGTTTAACATGCACCTTGACATCAATCTCCATTATGCTGTAACATTTGTACTCATTTGAGACTGAAGCAAAAGATAAAGTACGTCCATCTTTATGGGCAAACACGGGCTGTACATCTCTGGTCCTGTTGGCTGCACTGCTGCAGCAGAAGCTGTTGATCTCGAATGGGTGTAGATTAGGTAGCTGCAGATTGACAGGTTTCTTGTTTCCATGGTGCATAAAATAGCAGAAGTTTTTCTCAATTTGGCTCTACTTCTAGCTGACTTATTGAATAAAAAATTAGCTGGTTTGCAGAAAGGCTTTAAACTTTTTTGTCTTTTAAACAATACCAGCCAGCAGATATGCAGTGCTGACAGGGAGCTAGAGAACTCCCACAAATTATCTTTCCAACAATAGTTAACATGTTATTAAGAATTTCTGTGTCTGCATACTAATTATTCTGAGATCCAAGATTTTTTTTTCCTCCATTTAGGAGTACATTTATTTGGTGTGAGCAGATCCTTCTTCGTTGCTATTGGGGAAAAAACGTGGCTGACTCAAGGTCGCGTAAGGGATATGATCTTAGGCAGCAGCAGTGTGCAGGGCCCCGTTGCAGCCCGCATCCCCGGGCTTTACCCAGCCTGCTGCCCCGATGGAGCCTGGCGGTGCTACCAGGCCTCTGCTCTGCCCCTGCCAAAGCCTAAATCTGGTCCCGTGGACTATTGAGGCTTGCCACCTGCCTCCTCAGTGCTACCTGACAGGTCTCAGGGGATATTTTGGTAAATGGCCTTTAATTGTAAGGGTCCGTCTCAAAAATAAAAAAAACCACACACACCCCAAAACAGACAGACTACGACTTTTTGGAAACAGAAGTACGTACAGTTCAACATTAAGTAGATTTGGGTAGTATGCGAAAGACTACATGAGACTGGAAGGGATTTCCTTGCTGACTGAGTTCAGCCTACTGTTGCCTACAACCATAGCTTGCAAAAAATTGCCAAGCTCCATCTTAAAGATGCTGGTTTTTTGTGTTGCTAGTTTAAGTTGAGGGGAGGTTCTAGACCGTTATAGCTGTGATGCTTAGGTTGAAAATTAGATACAAATTCTGAAATTTTTCCATGATCGGTTTGCATAATTTTTTTTTCTTGTTTACCAACATTTTACTTTAGCTTGGCATTCCTCAAATTGTTATAAAGCAAAGTCTTATCCCCTCTTGATGATACATGTAAATGTCTTAAATTTGTCAGATTAAATGCTGTACAACTTCAGAATATTACTGCCATGCAGGCAAAAAAGAAAATGGAGGTTTCTGTTCTTTTACAATATGTAAAGCAAGCGATTTAGCATTGTAAGTGATGCTTTCAAGGAAACTCCTTAAAAAACAAAGGGCAGTAAGAAACCCCTGTAATCCCTTATCATTTTGTTTCGCTTTCACATAGTCTTCCTTTGAATGGTCAGTTATCACTGCAGAAGAGCACAGATAAAATTGCAACTAGTATAGAATTTGTATTTTTTTGTTAACCCCTTTGAGACATTGTCAGGAAAAATAAAGGACTTGTGATATGTTATATAATAATAGCATGTATTAAAAGCAATACTTAAAAGCCCTCACTCTCCCGTTATATTTTAGACAATTACAGTATGTCTTCTGGAATTTAAAGAAGAGTTTAAATTTATGTAGGTCTTTCAGATGAAGTAAGTTCATAAACTACTGTATTTTAGCAGTGCTACTGCGCTGCTGCAGTTAAACTTTTTAAAACGTAATTGCTTATGTTCTAAAATAAATTAATTCTGTGAGCTCTAATATCCACTGGATTCTGGTCTCTGCTTGACGAGCACTTTGGCAGTCACTGTGCAGGCGCAGTTTAGTAGGCATATTAAATTTATTTATTTTATCTTTGTTGCTAACACATCAGCACTGTGGAGAATCTGGGAAATACTGTGCCAAATGCCATCTGGGACCACACAGTGTAGCAGTAGGGACAGTTCACTGCATTCTGCCTGTGTCGCAGCTCTTACCTGTCAGCAGCAGCTGGAGGTGTATCAAGAATCTCAGCATGCCAGGAGAGCTATATATCCTTGCAGGGCATTTTGCCACTGGTGGTGAAAGATAATATAAGTACGGGCGAGATACAGCTCTTTCATTGTCTCCCAGGTGTGGCTGGGATGAAAGATACGGAACAAATTGCCCCAGTGGAGATTACTGTTTATTGCCAGCTCTGAGCTGCAGCAGGAGCACTGACTGGTCCAACTGCCAGAGTTGGGAATTTAGGGTTGTGCAAGACATCCCTAATGGAGATTTATGCTGAGCTTATCACTGCCTGATGGAAAGGGAGACTCCTATGCGTCTGATATTGACTTTAAAAAAAGAGCGTGGCAATTATTTTTTGCAGGCTAACAAACCTCAACAGCCGATATTTCTTTCGTTTCACTGTAGGAAGGACAGTGTCATGAGTTTTTTCATGAGAAGTGTAAGATATTTATTCAGTATTACCTGTGGATCACAGGTGTACCAGAGGCAGTCCAGGTCTAGGCATAGATGGGATTCCTTTTTCTCTTTGGATGACTGGGGGCGTATCTCCATGTCCTCTGCTCAGCAGACATGCCAGATCTTTACAGCAATAGTCAAGGATTTTCCTCCATCATTTTGCAAACCATTGTGAATAAGCATGCCGTTTCACTGCCCTCAGTGTCAGTTGTACGCAATGGCAGGTATTCAGCAGCTGGTGTGTGGACACCAATTTGCAGGAGAACTTTACCCTCAGAGCTGGACCTGCGGAAGTGAACAGCGTGAATGATATTACTCAGAGCTTGCTGCTCTAGCTCGAGAAGCCCTAGGCTTCAGGAAGTCAGACTCAGCCACCACTTGAGTAGCTGTAGAATGATGATGTGTTTGGCTGGCTGAAATCTGAATGCCAAGCATTTCTTTCTGAAAATGCCTATTGCATGCTGCTTCTGAAGTAATATCTGCAACAGCTGTGGAAATCCAGTAGATGGTTTGGGAGCAGCAAGTGGCAAAAGAGGCCACCATGAAACTAAGGCCTTGGCCAATTGCTTATGGAGAAAGATATGCCCGATCCTGAGACCCGTAGCTGACTATTTCATGCTGTGTCCTGATTGTTGATTTGAAAATGCTGCTTATGACATAAAACACTTGACAGCTTATCAAATGAAAATGCCTGTCATTATGATCTGGGACTCCTCAGTAGTCTTTTTTGCGATTTAAGGTCACTGTAAGTGTCTTCCCAGAGTCTTGAGGCCTATCTCATCCAACCTTTCCCTCCAAGAAGAGCAGAAAGCAAAATACATTTCAATACATGACCAGATATTAGAAAAAAAGAGAGTAGCTTTTTGCAAGGACTGTACAGCAGCAAATGCTCTAAGAGTGGGCAAACAGGCTTGTATGAGAGCTGGGAAGAGAGGAACACTTATGGTCTCTCTAGGTGCTGTTGTGTTCTGAGAGGAGATGCTCAGGAAGACTGCGAAGCATTTCTGCTTTAAATAATGACGACTTCAGATTTTTTCAAGCCCCGAGATTATCCTTTGCTTTTATGTAGGGGTTTGAGCATACACTGGGCGTACCCGACACACATTCCTTCTTGTTCCCTGTAGTGTTTTCTCCAGAGGTTAAGCAATAAGCTGCATCTTATTGTTCACAGCATGGCCCTGCACTAATGCAGGGAGGTGATGATGGTTTAAGATACAAGGAGTAAGGAGCTTAAGAAGGTCAAGTCTGGGCATTAGTTCTCACTGTTGACTGTTTCAGAGCTCAGGGAGACTTTGTCCTCAGGATGATGAAAACCTATAAGCTGTAGCTATAGTGAAAGGTGCAAGACAGCTGGGAACTAGCACAAGCAAGGTGCTTGTCTCTGGGCTCTTACTGTAGTGGAGGGGAGAGTGGGAGACAGAAGGAGGAGCTTAGTGCTGTGACTAGGTGGAGCCACACACAGTGCCCAGAGCAGCAGCAGATGGGTAGATTGGAGCTGGAAGAGGGCTGGGGGCTAAGCATTTGCTTGTGCATTCCCTACTACTTACGGGTAGCAGTCCTGCTGCCACTGCTTGTGCATTCCCTACTACTTACGGGTAGCAGTCCTGCTGCGTGGCAGCATCCTGGCTGGTCGAAACAGAGCAGCAAACCTGCCTCTCAACTTCCACATGCAGGAATT